TTTTAACCTATAACAATATTGGTTTTTTGACCTACTTGAAAATGTACATGGAACATCTTCAGACCTTGGCCTACAACATACCTAAAATCATCTTTTACCAATCAAAAGATACAGATTCAGCAAAGTACGATAAAAGAATAATAAGAAATTGAAATTGTTGGCTAATGTAATAATTTGACTGGCTGTTCACTTTAAGGACAGATTTGGCCTTCTAATAATAACTTGTGCAAGACTACAGTAGCTGACGGAGTATAGTGGGTGATTCCTAGAGTGCAAAATGACGTTGGAGATAGAATGGATATATGATATAGATTAAATAGAGGCAGCCAATGGGCGGTGTTGTATAGGAATGTAGTCCGTTAAAGTCATATAGTCCGTCCACTAGGTACTTCAAGATGATGCATTGAAAAGAGCTTTTTGTCTATATCAGTTGGGTTTGCCATGCCACAGAAAGGCTGATGTTTACCTACAGCTGTAGAGATGTAAACTGTCCATTCTTTTAAGATTGAGAGTGCGTAGTAATAAATGTAGTATTACCAGAGTGTATAAGATGGCTTGATATAAATCAAAGTACTGAGAGTACTGAGTACACTTCACAATCGCATAAAAATGAAAACGGTTTTTGACTTTCACCTTTGAAATTATATAGAGTAGGTCAAGGTCATTCATTTGCACATACTTTTAAACCTGTCATTCAAGCATGCTTCTTGCCAAACATCTTTACCCTGGAATAATTGGTTATTCAGAAAAAGTGGTGTCAATATTTTTACATATATGACCTCTGTGACCTTGAAAGTCATTCAAGGTCAATCATTTTCAAACTTGATAGCCAATTACCTCGCTGTGTTATGTATCAAATAATAGGCCTCTAGACCTCGTAGAACTATATCACATATGAAATTTGACACCTAAATAACTAATCGAACCACCAATCTACATGTGTTTTTTAGAAATGGTTAGAATGAATACAGTCCAGCAAATGCATTTGTAAGAAATGATTTTCAATTAAATTAAGGTGAATATGTGGTTAGTTAAATGGACGTAATCAAATTATATTGACAAAGACTAAACCAAAATTAAGGTTCTTAATCATTATATTAGATTCGATATGGCAGATGTCAAAATCATTTAAAAAGATGAAACTGAAAATTGTCAGGAGTAAAGCACTGCTTTTCGCAGAGATCATTGTGAATTTAGAATTGAAATGATATCACTAAGTGAATATTGATCAACTGTTTCTAAAATAGTAGAGTACACGCATAAGACAATATCACCTTCTCATGATTACGATCCAACCAATGAGGATGTAGAGAAATGTGTGTCAGCTAATATAAACATATTTGAAGTTTTGTTTAAAACCATGGTATCATACTATCTCTATGAAAATGAGGTCATGATCAGTGTGTACACATACAAACTTATCACTGACAAGTTTTTCTTTAACGACTCCCAAGACATTTGCAGGAAATTAAAACCCTGAAGGTCCACCTTCATTTAGAATTACAAAGGGGATAACTCTATGAATATGGTCAATGTACTTTCCACATTGTTGAGCAGTCAAAGATTCCCAAAAGTCTTGGATTCCCTTCACAAGCTCATCCTTTTTTCTTGGCTTCACAGTTGAACTTAAGAAGTGTTTCATAGCAGACCAAACATTCTCTATTGCATTCAAGTCAGGTGAAGATGCTGGTACTTCCATCACATTTTCTAGCATACCCTTCTCCAGCATCCATTTCTTGGTTGAGGCTGATTTATGTTTGCTGTCATTGTCCTGTGAATGATAATTTAAATTTACTGTACTTAACTTAATGAATTTACTAAATACATTGTGTATGTATACCAATACCCCCTGCAGCTTGGTTTCAAGTGATAAGCTCGTAAACACAATATGAGTTTAACGTTTTAACACCTTTCAATGACCTTTTGAAATTGAATATATACACTGCCATGTGACAATTACCTGCTGTTCATGATGCACTGTATATATATATATGTGAATTCTTCCCATATAACAAAAGGTTAACCATTACTTATTAGGCAACTTAGATTTGGCCTTGCCACCAATTACAGTGATATGACATTTGAACCCTATAATGCCCTGAAAATAGTTCAACAGTAGTGTTATATAATGTGACAGTGAATATTGAGTGGTCAAGCATTGTGCGAGGACAGACAAAGTGCATTGTTGAACAATTTAAGCACTTCCCATGACAAATGAAAACACAAAATAATAACAATGAAAAACCCAGAGGGATCTTGCAGCATGATATAATCCTATTCATTCTATGTTAATTTGATCTTTTCTCTAATAGAACAAAAGGGATTTCTTTGACCAAACAACTTGAACAACTCTCTGAGAATTACTGTGATTACAAACTTAAAGTGCCAAACTCCACCAGCTGGCAGCCATCTCCTTCTTACCATCAGTCTCAAAATCTTACATAAACTATCTGATGATTTGAGATAAGAAAACTACTAGAAATGACAATATTTTCACATTTCAAAATTTCCTTTAGACAGGTTACATGTAGATAACATTTCAATTTTACAAAAAATATATCTCACTTGATACATTCGGTAACCTTCTGGAAAAACTTTCTCAACGAAAGGCAGGAAGTTTCTTTCCAAGATCTGCTGGTAGATGATGAAATTTAGCGAAAGCACTGCTACCAAAGGAAAGATCCCGAAAACAAATAAATAATAATTCATCAATTGACAATTTGGGTGCTCGTCCGGGATATATATGTGTTGTTTTTAAATATTTAGACCTCATTTTCAGGGGGTAAAACTCTAGATTTGTGGAGATTATATTGGTTGTTAGTACTGTGTATTGAAACGGTGCATTTGATAAATGTAAACAATAAGTTAATTGTTACAAACATAAATTGATATGCTGTGTAGATGTGCTAGTGTAGGATCATAATCATCATATCATGTAGGAATGTTGTAGAGTACATGTACAACCATTACATATTGTGTATCGGAGTAGGTCGGGTCTTTTATTCATAGTCACTGTTATTCCATATATGTGTATAAAGGAGTAGGTCGGGTGCTATATTAGAATATAGACTGTTATTCTGTACGACAAGTTAGTTTGGTTGTTACATTCAACTTCATACTGTATTGCGGGATACATTTTGGGAAAAATACTATTTATAGGCTGTTTTTCTGTACTACAGAATAGGTCGGGCACTATATATAGGTATTTTAAATTCTCACAAGCTAAATTTGTGAATTTTTGTGAAACTGTTTTCTAAAATTGAGTATTTAGGATAGATCAGTTATCGCATAGTGTTACTGTGTTGTAATACAGAATAGTGAGTTACTATGTTTGGTGTTAAGCCTGTAATTCTGTACCAAAAGTTACTGTTGACCTATTATTGAGAATAGGCGGTATGTGGTTTACTAGTAATTTTACTATTGAGTTATTAGAGTGCTGCAACTCGGCATATTACAAATTGTATGCTAGTATATAACCAGGCAGGTTGGTTATGATACACCAGGAAGTGTGCATACTGTACAGGCACACACAAATAGTGGTATTCAGACAGATAAGAGCTGATATTATTAAATAGCTTAGGATAGAACTTTTTTGAGTTACAATTGTTCATTGGGTTGCTATCCAGATCCATTTTGAAAATGTGTATTAATGTGTATTTCTTGCGCTTCAACAAAGGCAAACAAATCATCTTTTTTGACACAAGATTGATCATTTAAGTTGTCATTGTATCGCCATTTTTAATTGTAGCAGGTTCAATTTTGCTGTACAACTTTATACTGTTTAATATGATAAAAATTAATATGCAACAAAACTGGAAAATTATACATTATTGATATTTTTTTGCATATTTAGTGTAACTGAAGCACTTTTGATTTTTGACCCGAAAAAGGTGAAAAAAATAACACAAATAATAATGGGACAAAAAAAGAAGCACACGGACCCTGTGAATCCGACCTTGACCTCCATGAGGGAGTTATTTTTGGAAGTTAATTCGAACTTTTCTCTTGGCTCATTTTGTGAAGAAACCAGGCATGAATGTATTTGTTGATTGTATTGGAACCCGTCAACAGTCGGTAGATTCTATGACAGCATCGTTATTTGACATGTCGTCAGAAACTGAGGAACCGTGGATCCGAGACGCGTGAAACTGATAGCGTTTGAAGTGAGTGATCTTGCGACGGAGCACAGGTTCGTTACAAATGTCTGAAATGACAAATGTTTATGTGTGCTGTGACTCATATGAGTAGGTCTGTGACATATGTGTCAGTAGATCTATAGAATATGTGTATTTCAGACATTTATAACGAACCCCTGTTGATCAATGCAGTGTAACAGACGATATTTCTGATAAATTGCATGAGCGTTAAAATTGTTTCCATTGCCGGCATTGGTGATTTCAACCGATGTGCATTTTGTACGATATTGCAGACCTTGGTCTTGTTTTCGTTGTAATAAAAGCGGTTTTTTATTTTATTTTTTATTTTGCACATAAATTTACAATGACATTATCAAATCTCACAATGCCCAGCGATATTTCAGCAGCCGTCATGTTTATTTACATTGGATATTGTAGTTCCGGTCAGTGTTGTGATTAATACGCTAAGAATTGTGTCTCGGGTGGCATGGTAATTATGTCTCGTGCGGCATGGTAATTTAAGTCCCATCAACGACACAGCTTTCAAAGAGGCTATATAGTGACAATGCCATGCAAATGTAAATAGAAGATAATAGCCATATATTGTTAAACTAAATATTCTATTGGAAACATAGTATTATCATAACAGTGTTCATCATGTGTGTTATGATTTTCAGAAATAATCAATGTTAACCATCAATCTTGTATGGTGCAAGATATGTAACAACATTTTACATAAGTATCCAATATAGTCACAGTTAGTTATATTACAAATTGTTAGTTAGTTGCCACTGTTGTTGCGGTTTTGGCAAATTATATAAATATTACTGCTATTTACAGTGTGTCACCAGAATATTATTGGACATGACAACGCATCCTCGCACCCATGGTTGGTTGTAGTTCTCCCCGAACTAGCAACGTGTAAGTTCACAATCTGAATAATTACTTGATTTTTTGTTTTTTATTGTTTGAGAAGACATTAATAACCAAATATGATATTGCTGTACCTAGTAATTTTGCACATTTTTGTCACTACTTATCCACTGGTCACGTAATGTCGCATACCTTTATTACAATAGCATACAATAGTATGTATAAAATAGGAAATGAGTCAATGCAATATAAGAACAATTACTGAGAGGCATTCATAATATACTCCCTTATCTCCAGGGCCTTCTGAACTGTCGCCAAATGTCGCCACATTCACACCTCAAGAAAATGGACGACCTGGAAGTGAGCATTATGTGGAATCTTATGGTGCCCCACCTCCGCCAGATTTGCCTCAGCAATCCTCACCACCTCATTTTCATTCCACAGCCTTGGGATTGAATTTGGTAGGTTTCCTATGAAAAAAGACCTATTGATGTTAAATTTTACCAAGTTTCAAGATGATCCAGTAACTTATAATGTTTGGAAAGGTACATTCAAGAATATTACTGATGAACTGGTCAAAAAGATCAACAATTTTCCAAAACTCCTCAACTGAGACCACAAGAAACTGTCGATGTACTCGATTTACTTCTTGAAGTTGAGTCCCTTAAGGAGACACCCAGATATTTGTCTCTCTTAGCATCATACGACAACTCTGTGGGAACCCTAGATATCTGACATACAGAACAAATGGATGGGAAAGGCAATGAAGTACAAGTCCTGCGCTAAAATAGTTAAAGTGAATGTTTACCCCAAGGACAGACCAGAAGAAAGGATGACCTTGTATGCTCTCATAGACGATCAGAACAACCGGTCCTTAGCAACACCAACATTGTTAGATTACTCAAGGAAACATGCAGTTTTGAAAGGGTGCAGTACTCCTTGACTTTATGTGCTGGTACAGTCACAACCGCGGGACGCAGAGCACCAGGCTTATTGTGGAAGACACTGATGGTGAAAAGAAATATGAACTGCCACCGTTGATCGAATGCGAGCACATTCTAGGCAACAAGGACGAAAACCTTACGGCCGAAGCAGCAGCTAAACATACACACCTTAACGATATTGCTGCAGATATACCACAATTCGACAACAGTACAAGAATTCACCTATTACTTGGCAGGTATGCTGTTGATATTCACCATGTATTAAATCAAATAATCGGCCCTAGCGGTTCTCGCTATGCCCAACGACTGGGCCTAGGGTGGGTAATAATCGGCAATGTGTGTCTAGGAAAAGTCCATGCTCCTGATCTTGACAATCTAAACGTCATGAATATAAAACATATGTAGTGAATGGACGCCATTCAATTTTTCACAGTGTGAATACAACCTGTCTGTAAAAGAAACCATCAGTACTGACAAGCTGTTCCAGAAAACAAAGAACGATGAGGGAGAAGGTTGGTCCATAGATGACATACAATTCATCGTATAATTAATATTTTTGGTTTAGAGAGGTCAACCGACTGGTCAGCCAGACGGCGGCCTCCTATTGGTCGAAAATTAGATATTGTTCGATTTTTATGAAAATTGGTATATAGGGGTGTTAGGGGACTGTGAACAAGAGGCTGTATCGCTCACCTGAATATTTAAGCAGTCATAGCAAGTATTGCATGACTACTGTCTATAACGTGTACTTATCTTGACATTGTAAACAATTACACTCTATATGTATTAAATGAATTTATTATTTTTAATTGTAACAGTTGTTGGCAGCAGTGACCTGGTCAATATATGCTGAAATAAATGTATTTGTACATGTACTTGTATGTGTGTGTAAGTGTGTATGAGGTGTGTGAGATGTTTCCTTCATGAGTTACTTCCCCTTAGCCTTGTGTTAATATTAATTATTTTGTGTGAATTTTTTCATTTGCAACATGTCTAAAATATTATGTCTCCTTGTTTATTCCACTTTGACCATTTAACGGAGAGAATTTATATAGGCTTTGCCTGTTATTTAATCCAATTGACTACGACATCTTGTCAATAAAATTTAATGAAATGAAAATAGCAAATATTCTCATTACATATTATATTGTACTACAAATATGTCACTCGCAAACTTTGAGGCTCCATCTGTTGAAACTACAAGTCAAATATTATTATTTAAGATTTCATGCTTTTTGGCCATCGTTCTTCTTCAAAAAAGTTTGGCATATTTTTCCCTGTGACCTTTTAAGTATGTCAATTAGTTTTCTTTCCCAAACTTTTATAACTTTATCTCAAGAAGCTACCAGCCAAATCTTATGAATCCATTCCTTTTGAATCTTCAGAACAAATCCTTTGAAATGTTGTTGACCTCTGTGACATTTAAAGTAGGTTGAGGTCATTTTAATTTGCAAACTTGGGTGAACTCTAACCCAAGAAGCCACTAGCCAAATATTATAATTTTATGCCTTTCGACTTTTCAGAAGTCGCTTGATGTTTTTAACATATTTGACACCTGTGACCTTGAAGAAGGTCAAAGTCGTTTTCATTCTCAAACTTTGTCTGGCTTTATCTCATGAAGCCATAAGGCAAATATGAAGGTTCTACACATTTTAGTTCTTCAGAAGAAGTCGTTTAAAGAGTTTTACATATTTGACCACTGTGACATTGAAAGTAGGTCAAACTCATTTTCATTCTCAAACTTTGTTGGGGCTTTATCCCATGAAGCCACCCTACAAATATGAAAATTCTAACCTTCCAGTTCTTCAGGAGAAGTCGTTTGAAGTGTTTCTTTCACACATTTGACCGATGTGACCTTGAAGGTAGGTCAAAGTCATTTTCATTCGCAAACTTTGGTGACCTCTACCCCAGCAAGTCACCAGCCAAATATTATATTTTTATGCCTTTTAGTAGATGTTTTTTTACAGGTAGCAAAAGGTCCCTAAAGGTCCCTATCGTTCCCTAAAAGGTCCCTATAGGCCCCTAAAAGGTCCCGCTAGGTCCCTAAAAGTCCATAAAGGTCCATAAAAGATCCCTTAAGTCCATAAAAGGTCCATATAAGTCCCAAACATTAAACGGTTTAGGCTAAGGAAAGTCCATGTCAAAGACAATAGGCTCAGTTAATGTTAAGCTGTCAGAAATATTGGTCCAGTACGTGATCATATACAAAAGAGAGCGTAGATGTATACACCTTGACTGACTGAGATAATGGCGCTCTACAGGTAAAGAGACGCTCGGCTGGTTTTCACAGACCGTCGATGTAAAGATCAAGCTATGAAAGAAAACGTAACACCCAGTGAAAAGACGAAGTCATGACACTATAATCTGACTTAGACGACACGGTGATACGAGCCGACCCTAAGCAATAAATAATATATAAAACATTACACAATTACTAATGATGATAACGATTAATTTTAATGCATATATACTTGATTATGAGAATATGTAGACAAGAGATCCCAGAGGGATCTTGGCGCCCACCTTTGTACCATCTTCATTAGTTCTTTGTCAGTTCGATCTTTTCTCTTCTTTCCTCTAATCTGTTTGATCGAGTCATGTTAACAGTAAATGCACCTTGAGGTAACTTTTGATCTAAACTTAATACTGATGTGTATGAAAGCCAACCTTCAAAGTGAGTTTGTCATTTCACATATTTACTAGTACAGTACTTAATGTGAAAGAAATAGAATCGATCATTGTAATATGAGAAAGATCTGTTTAGTTCTTCTTTTAGGCCATGTTGTTTATCCGATCAGTCTCAAAAGTTGCCCTGCACAGCTCAGAACCAAGGGGAACCTACATATCAAATTTGAGAAAGATCCCTCTGGTACTTCCTGAGAAATAGCGATAACAAACTTTCAATATCAAAATCCAAGATGGCTGCCTGTCAGCCATGTTGTTTATCCGATCAGTCTCAAAAGTTGCCCTGCACAGCTAAGGACCAAGGGGAACCTACATATAAAATTTGAGAAAGATCCCTCCAGTACTTCTCGAGAAATAGCGATAACAAACTTTCACTATCAAAATCCAAGATGGCTGCCTGTCGGCCATATTGTTTATCCGATCAGTCTCAAAAGCACCCTTGCACAGCTAAGGACCAAGGGGAACCTGCATATAAAATTTGAGAAAGATCCCTCTGGTACTTCTTGAGAAATAGCGATAACAAGAATTGTTTACGGACGGACCACGGACCAAGGACGCAGGGTGATTTGAATAGCCCACCATCAGATGATGGTGGGCTAAAAATCATAATGCTTTATGAAAATTTACGAGATTTTAAGAAATCATAAGTACCCAACAACAATGGCAGTACCACTGCCTCAACGGTGGCGGTGGTAGCCCCAGCATCGGCAGTGACTTGGATGGTGCCAGTCTCGACGGTGGCGGCGGTGGCCTCGGCTGTGACTCGGGTGGTGGAAGCCTCGACGGTGGCCTCGGCGGTGACTTGGGTGGTGCCAGCCTCGACGGTGGCGGTGGTAGCCCCAGCCTCGGCGGTGACTTGGGTGGTGCCAGCCTCGACGGTGGCGGTGGTAGCCCCAGCCTCGGCGGTGACTTGGGTTGTGCAAGTCTCGACGGTGGCGGTGGAAGCCCCATGCGTGGCCTCGGCGGTGACTTGGGTGGTGCCAGCCTCGACGGGGGCGGTGGAAGCCCCATGAGTGGCCTCGGCGGTGACTTGGGTGGTGCCAGCCTCGGCGGTGGCATTCACCTAAAGAACAGTTATTAGATTGTTAAGGGTGTATATTCATCGATTGGAGAGAAAAAAAAGTATCGAGGTGACAGCATGAGCTTTAACCCCTCTCACAAATGACTGCAAAGGGTAAAAAAAATAACAAAAAATATCAACTGACCACCATAGAAAATTTAGTAAAATGTCACGTGATTAGTTCCTTTGTATTTGAAGTAATAACTTCATTGATGGAATAATTAGTATTAAGTGGAGGTGATAGATCAGGTCAAAGCTGTCGTCGACTGAGTAGTATTACATCATATTAGAGGTGATGGGTCATGAGAGATAACTCGGTGTTAATCAGGTCAAATATATACTTAAAACAGCCCATATGAAAAGTTAGGGCAAGGAAAAGACATATCGACAGGATACTTCTTATGATGTTCAGTCATTCATAAATATTCAGTCATTGAAACTTGAAAAAATGCTGACACTGTCTAATTTATCAGAACTTAGATATTAGAGATACCTTTTTAATGAGATGTAGATATGTGAAGATACTAGTCAATAAAAAAAACACACCTTCTAAAGAACAATGACATCACCATCCCGTAACCTTTTGTCATTGGTCTTTACGTATTTTCCCTACCACACCTAAACCGACTATAATAAAAAAAACGCGCCAATACTGTCAACCGTCACTTTCCTGAATTTGGCACCAAACAAGTTGATCATGGATGGGGAATGAAGTTCTTTCGGTGAAATTCGGGTTATTGAGTCAACGTGGGACGGTTCAAAAAAAGTAAAACTTGAATCTCGTGTGAATAAATGTTTGATCGTTACGGCAAACATTTGGAACGGGGAAATATATACCCACATTAAACGTAAAGATCGCTACTTCCGCTGAAGTGGGAAGAATTGACACAGTTGAATGCAACAATGGATAATATGCAAAAGCAGCTGCATCTCCTGAATGTAAGTATATACAAGTACATGAGTACATCTTTTATTGAAGATAAATAATTAAAAACTCTTCTATCATTTTTTTTCTCTTTTTAATATAATAGGAGCAACATCAACCACAGCAACCACAACAGTGGCGGCAGCAATAGCAGCAACAATCGCATGCTGATGTTTGGGACCATAATCAGTTATTATTCTGAGTTATTATATAATATACTAATCATTTACATATTAATTTTCAATGATTCAAAGACATAAATAATCTTTTTAGTACCAATTTGTATTGTAAAGAGCATAGCATCTCGTTGCACAAATGCCTCATTAGTCTTCTCCTTTAAAATGTATCAAAAACGTTTGACTAAATGTGTCATTGATTCAAACGGGGGTGTCATTTTTAGAGATAGATCGTATTGTGCTACTAATCTATGTTTTATCAGCATCTTATTTGGATGTCACGAGGTCGACATCTGTAGATCCGTCATCTTTCGTAAACTCGTTACAGCTATAAAGAAACGTTACTCTGAATTTAAAAACGAAACTCATTTCTTTATCGAAAGTGTAGTAGAAGTCAAATATGGTCGAGTTCGTAATCAGATGAAAAGGTTGACGAGACAACGATGCTACTGTAAAGTAGAAGCTGTTTTTGGCTTGTATGGAGAGTCGTTGTTGGATTGTATATCTAAATGTAGAAGTACGGCCGGTACGTTTTCATCGTCTTCTGATGAATTTTCCAAGGACAGGTCATCTAATGCCTCATACAAATCAACATCAGATTCACAATCTATTGAATTTATTCAACTCTTTTTAAAGCAACAACGTGTAACGATTTCATTGGTCGGTTCAGAAGATATCCTGAAAATAACACACAAAGTTTCTAACCAGGGGGCGCTGTTTTTGCGGCGAAAACCCATTCTAAATATGTGTTGTGTATCTGGGCGTCGAGAAGGGCTTGCATAGAGATTACGTAAAGGCGTCCATCGGCGTGGATAAAATGCAGAGGCGTCCACTGGCGCTTACATACGGCAAAGCGTTAACTGATTTAGATGTGTCAGCTGTGTTAGAAAGAGAACAATTATTAAAGAAGCTACATCCAGTTCGAATAAGTCCTGCGCTTTAAACAGTGTACACTTGTATACAGATTAAAGGTTGTAGTTCACATATATGCAATTGATTATTATCTTTCAAAATTGATGTGTTGTCACTTTTTGTTAATTTCGATGATGGATTATGACATTGAATTTAAAAGTAGATTGATATCGGTCCATGTACATGAAACGTGCAAACCTCAATTGTTGTAGTTCGGCTAAATTTCTCATTTAGATGAAAGTATTTGATAAGCGACACACATCAATTTCAAACCTTTCATAATTTACAAAAGGGTTTTTTGAAGCGTAATAAGTATCAATTTGTATGCATACTGCTAAATTAATTTTCTATAGCACTTGCAAGACAAATTCTTTTTAAATCAGTTGACCATGAGCCGAGCTCAATTCAACAGTAATGGTCGAACGTTCGGTCATAGCGATCATCAATAGAGAATATGGACTACTACTAAGTAACATTCGTTTTTATGTAGATTTTTTAAGTTTTGGTGCGAGTCAGATTAACGTCTCATACCAAGAGGAATGTAGACGGGTGATGTTAGAGGCACAGGTGTCAGAGACACAGGTAAGTAGAGTCAAAAATGATGGATTAATATATTTATTTAAGCAGAAGATAACATACAAACCTATCCAGTTATTATTTATTTATAATGTTTTGGTGTTTATACTGTTTTTCAGAGGACAAGAAAAAGAAGACAAAGAATGTGACAGATAGACAACAGACAGATAAGGACGGACGGACAGTTGGCTCTAATCCAGCCTGACATTATATGTCAAGACAGTCCAAAGGCAGTAAAATCACAACTGTTAATCACACAAGCTTCGACTGGGATGTGAATAGTAGGTGTGATAAATGGAGATGGGAGTCAAAAGACATTTTCACAAACTTGCCACAATTCCAAATAAAGTTCATTAACATTTGAGAGTGCAAAGTAGATTTCAAAGAACTTTCTATTTGAGAGAGCACGCTTGATAACGGTTGAATTCTTTAGAAAATGATCAAGTAACGTTCATATAGTATGTGCTAAAGATGTTTACCGAATCAAATGCGTGAACCAATACGTCTCACATTGCGTGCTATATTCACCGTAACTTAAAATATGGTTATGCGTTAAGTACTATGAAAGAGATTGAAGTCCTGTCAACATAGTTCTAAATCGTATAAGCAGACCTACGATCACCTATTCTTAGGAGTTTATAACATTAAGAATTAAAAAAAAAAAATATTCAAATTTACACATTTATTTGACACACATTTTCCAAAATGTATGCACGCAATCACCTAAAAAATATACATATTATAAACATTGTCATAATCACAATATAAACAGATTAAACATTAATACGAAAAATTATCACAATTGACAAATCATCAAGGATCTAATTATCACAGTAAAATAAACTAAATAGAAAAGGTCCTAAACATTCACTTGTAGTATTAGAAAGAAGTATAATTAACTCATACTCGAGTATTGACTTTAAAAAAAAAACACACAAAAAAACAGTAGTACAAAAAAAAAATATCACAATGATTTTTATAAAAGCACATCTTTCACTGCCTAATATACCATACACAATCATTACAGAAGAAATTTAAAAGGTCCACCTAACTTTATTGGAAACAAGATGGATGGCTTTTTTTATTCTACAATAACTTTCACATGAAGTTGAAATTGGCACACCTGGTTCAAGAGAAACACAAGTTCTTTTTTAATAAAGTATATGATTTATTGGGTTTTTTTCTCCACTACACAGCCATTCAAGTACACTTAAAGGTATATTTTACAACCATTAAAAGCAATTTAAAATGTTAATAAGAGGTCTAGGCCTATCTTAATATAAAACAGAGCAAGATGGATGAAGAGCTTTTTAGTCTCAAGTGACCTATTGCGATCGCCTTGTCCGTCGTCGTCCGTCAACAATTTACATTTTCGACTTCTTCTCCAAAACCTCTGAACCAATTTCAATGACATTTTGCAGAAACCTTCCATGGCCAAAGGTCAACTAAAATTGTGAATTATATGGTCCCCAGCCCCCAGGGGCCTGAGGGGCGGGGCCAAAAATGTTAAAATGTACTAAAATTTCAAAAATCTTCTTCTCAAGATCCAGATATGGTAGAATCAAATACTCTTCATAGATGGGAGGGTCTTAAGATGCTTTACTAAAATTGTGAATTTGTTGACCCTGGGGTCTCACGTTTCCCCCTGGGGAGGGGGTAAACTTTACTATAGTTTATATAGGGAAATCACTTGATAGGAATTATAAACCTAAGTTGACAGTTTGATACTTTGAAATTTTTGAGCCATCCCTACCCCCAATGGCTGTAGTGTGGGGCCAAATGGAGTCTGTGTGCTAAAATAAAATTTCTTCATTTTCCTTGTTTAGAATCAGAGGTGCTAGTTTCAAATACTGAATAAGGTGGTTTCATTGTTTTTTGTCACTGAATAATATTTCTGTTCATGTTAAAAACAAAAATCAACTCTCTGTATAAATATATCAGGTGACCGTTAAGGCCCATGGGCCTCTTGTTTAATATGTATAATGTTGCCTAATAAAAAATGGATTATATGAGAAGCTTATTGAAAATATTTTTGATATACTTGAGCATTTTTTTTTATCACAGCAGACAAAATGTCTGATAAAGTAGACATACCCGTCTACTTGGTTTCGTTTTATGATGTCTTACACAAAAATGTAGGTAACATAGATTTGGAAATACAGACGACTTATATCAGAGGAGCCGTTACATAAAAAAACCGGTTTTCAATAGATTTTGTCCGAAAATGTAAAAAGCGTATATTAACATGTTTCGTCCCAAATACGAATACATATTCGTCTTCAATTATAGGAACAACCCGATTTCTGTAAACACCATTCTACACTCGTTATTAGTAAGGTATTATTAAATTATCCGTAATATAATGACTCATTACACAGGTAAGTCTATATCTGGTCAAACATCTCAGAATGTATTGTGGTCGAAACAGATAC